TCCAACGACGTCCTGAAAAAATAATTGTCGTTCGCTTTACGCACCCCTTCTTCAAAATAATAGCAAATAGATCACAAACAGATAAAATAAATTTTTATAAAAAAAGGAATCAACAGTAATTTAAAATTTAATAATCCACGAGATTATGATACTTGTTTATCTTTTAGTTTCGACAAAATACTGCAAAATCGAGTTGGAAGTTTTTCCAATTCGAGAACTTTTTCACCAGGCTTTGCCAAGGAATCATGTAAAGGAGGTGAATAATTGGACTTCTGAAAATGAAAAAATTTAAATTCAAAAAATTAAAGATTTTACTCTTTTTAAATTTTTTTAACCTTATTTTTTAATTAATTATACCTGCGAAATTTTTGAACTTCTAACTCTTTGAAACAGAATGACAAGAGAAAAAAAATACATAAATTTTTTCAAGTTATCTGGACAAGGATACTTACATCCAGCTTAATCAGAGACTGCAACCAATTAGACAAATCCATAATGCGCCATTCATTCTGTTTGATACTCTCAGACAAAGACTAAATTTGTATTGAAAAAAATAGATAAATAATTTCTAAACAATGCACGAAAAATGACAGAACATTAAGAATTTTAAAATATTTAAATATTAGTGATAAAAACCGTCGGGAAAATCATACCAAACACTTATCTTCATTTGCTACCAGAATATCTACCATAACTTCGAACATCTCAATTGTTTTCCATGGTGCAAGATTTTCAATCGTTCTTAAATTGAACAAAAATCCCAGAAAATTCTCTTCAACTGAAATTTTAAAGCATATTCTTCAAAAAATTCCTATTTTTTAAATTTGAATTCTAAGCCAGAATTTTAAAGACATTTTAATTTCAATTTATCTTGCCTAATCCACTAACCTGATCCAAAGAAAATTTTTCTTTTCCGCACATCAGCAACAGCATCCTCCATTAAAAAGATATTTGCCAGTAAAAGTGATATCCTATTTATATCATGTTTAGAAAAACATAATGTCTGTAAATAAATCCTTATTAATCATAATTAATGGCTACAATTTTTTTTATCCTAATTTTAACTAAGCACTATTAACTTCAATGCACTTACCATGAACTGTTTAACAAATAGAACTGAAAATCGCACATTGTTGCAACACATATGGAGAATAGAAACACGGGCAGTTTCACAGTCGATTGTTGGCAATGTATAACGTTTTAACAACCTAAAATACTTGGAAATCCAAGCCTTATTCAAAATCCAATTCAATTTTCAAAATATTCAAAATATGGCATGTTCAGCTAACCTGACAATAACGTTAGGATTTTCCAGTCTTTTTATTGAAATTGTAGGTACATTACAAAGCTGTTCATCAACGTCAAAGCCACTTAATTTACACGAATCTTCTTGCTCCCGCTATAACAACAATAATTAATTTATTATAGAATTTAATATAGAATTTATTGTTATATAACATATAAATTTCTTTTAGCCAGTGAAAAATAGAATTGCGAATTTTCTTAAAATGAAAAATCTAAAAGTTCAGAATGTCATGCATATCCAAAAAATTATTTTTATTTATTTTTATTTAAAAATTATTATTTTTGAAAAAAATTCGACATGAAAAAAAAATGAAAACCTCATAATCCGTTAAACGACACACCCTTATGACCATGAAAAATATTTCAAACAATTTGCAATCATGATGAGAAGATATTTTGCCAAATGGCTCATCAGAGGAAATGAACGGTAGCAAAAATTCCAATATTCCATTAATTATCAACCGACGGCGCTGAATTTAAGAAAACTTTCTTTTCAGCTAAACTGTATACAAATTTCCATCAACAATGTCTAAGCCATAAAAAAAACATAATGTAAGAGCCATCAATTGTTAATGTTAAAATGTACCTAAATTAACATAAATATCTACTGTTCATTATACATACGCTACGACATAGACTAAATAAACTTCAAAAAAAGAAAACAAATTATTTACCTCTTCCGGACCGCTAAAAGTATATTCTTGCAATACCAAGTAATACTGAGAAGGATGATTTAGAAAATTCGGTAAAAATTTCTGAGCAATAAGCAAGAAATTAGCAAGAACCACATCACAAAGAGTTTGATCATTTTTTATTAAAATTTTATCAAAACGATGGCAGAAGGCGCCTGTAAAAATAGTGGTGTTATTAAAATATTAAAATCTATTACTATTAAAAACTATTAATTAATTTTAAAAAACCATTAATTAACTTAAAAAAAATTTACTATATAATTCAAAGTTTTTTATACACAAAAACTGAAATTAAATAATTTAAAAATAACCAGTATGCAGTTCGAGAACTTCCATTGTATCATTTTTGGTAGAACGTAGAATTGCAACCATTAAATTGGCAAAAAATATTCGAACCTTTAAAAAAAACTATTGAATTAATGTTTATAGAGCTAATATTGCAACCATTGCAACCATTGAGAAATTCTCATAATTACATAACATTAACGATAGCAACGATAGCAAAGTATTGTTTTTCCCAAATATAACGAAATAACGAAATATCATATGGAAATAAATATGAAAAATATTAAACAGAAAAAAAAGCTAACATCACTATGAGGGCATACTAAAAGATATAAATTAATAATTTCGTCAGATAAAGCAATATAATATGCAAACCACGCTCGGCAATGAACCGACGAAAATAGTTTTTCAAGAATTTCAGTCCATTTATGAAGAGAATCCGCTCTATAAAAAAAAAATGTAAATATTTATCCAAAACTCGTAATTTTTATTTCAAATAGGCGCACCAAAAAAAACAATAAAAATCAGTTAGAATAAGGACTAAAAATACCTTAAACATTTTCTCGTCCGAAGTGCAACACTGAAGATAAATTTACATGCCAGCCGTATAGCCAAAAGGCATACTTCACTATAATGCATTTAATTTTTAATTGCCTGTTTGAAAGAAAGAAAAAACAATTTTTGCCGATTCTAATTCACATAATTTTTATCTGCATCTGACATATCGAATGATCTTCCACTTCGACTATAGTGGAAAAAATAATCAGAAATCGATCAAAATGAAGAGAAAAAATTATATATTATATTACATTAAATTTTAAAAATTATGGCGAGAAAATACATTAAAAATTATAAAAATAAAAATATACTTTTTTACTGCATCATCATTTAAATTATCTACCATCTTAATCGCAAGCGTAATTGTTTCATAAAGAAATTTAAAATATTGTGGTGTAAATCTAAAAAATTCATTTGAAAAAAAAATGATACAGAAAAAAATCATTAAAAAAAGATTATTAAATTCAGACATTATTTAAATTATAGTCCACTTAATGATTATGAAATTAATTAACTTACAACTTTAATTATCATTTTTATTAAAAAAAGAGTTATTGCCCTTTTTAATTTTTTTATATGAAAGATACGAATGCTCAATAAAAAATAAAAATATACTGCAATCTCTCATTCATTGAACGCAAATTTTTTTCTCGTACCAAAGTCTCCAATTTCGATGGCAGCAAATGTAAGCGCAAATCTGAATTTTTTTCTATAATTCATAGCTTTATGAAATAAATTCTGCGTTTTAGATTATCAATGAAAGTTCTAGAATAAATAAATAAAAGAAATGTTGAATGCTTTTATCAAATTCGAAAAAAAATGAAAACTAACTAGTTAATAGAGGGCTAGACGATGTGATAGAAGAGTCCGGTGAATGGGAGCTGAATGCTTCCAATGGGACAGTAGAATTTGTAAATGAAATAAGAGCAGAACGTTCATTGATCTAAAAAAAAAATAATCGGTGTTATATTTTATCATCATTGGATAAAGTTTAACACCGATAAGTCATCTTAAAAATCCGGGTGATTTTTTTATTATTCGAATTTGTGTTTGCATAATTTTTATGCCATATTGACTGAAACGTCAGATATCGCTCTACTCATCGTGATCTCTATACCTTTTTGTTGTAGGTCAAAAGATTCGTATAATTTTTTTTGATTGATTAATTCATCAGATTCGTTATGGTGTAACTTTCGAATTCTAGCAGTTTAAAAACAGTTTAAAAACTAAAGAAAAGATAAAGTATATATGATAAATGGGTATCCCAAAAATTAACTGAGCATCGCATGAGTAATGAAGCAGCCTTGCATGAATGACTGAAGATCATTGCTAATAAGAAATAAAAACGATTGTTTTTCTGAAAAAAGTTTTTATTTGATGAAAAATGTGGCCTGTACGACAACAGGAAAAGATCGGAGCAATAATTGAACAACGATGAATCCCTTGATAAAAGCTAATGCGATCTTCATCGAAGACTGCTTTCACTATTCGATGCCTGTTGCAGGACTGATTCATAGCTTTTTAAAATCTCATGCAGTGATTGCAGCAGAATCGCAATGTAAAGAGTGGGAATAGTCCACCAGAGAAACTACAAAAAAGATTCACAAAAAATATTTTGCAAAAATCTGTCGAGATGAATATCGAAGTCTACCTCTATTCACCAAATTTTCATTTCATCCGCTATCTCGAAAATTTCTCCAAGAGGAAATAAATCTTGAATAGAGGAGACTTTGAAAACGTTTTCCAACAGTGCACTGGTTCCAGAAACTAGAAATCAAATTGAATAAATGCAATTTCAAGTTGGTATCAAATTGGTATCAAGTTGGCAAAAGTGTGTTGTTTGTAACAATCTTTATTTTGAATAAAAAATATTGAATTATAAAAAAAATATTGTTCTCAATAGCTGTGGCCTTATCAAACAACCGAAATAAATAACCCGAATTTTTATGATGACCATAAGCAATATGTTATAATAAAAAGAACCTTCTCATAAATAAGAAGATATGCGCTCCACCAACGTTTTTTCGGTTTCTTATCCTTGTCATCAACCACACCGGAAAAAAGAGAACTGGGACCAGATACAAAGTCCGTTACATTCGATTCAAGTTCATCACCTCCAAACCATGTTTCTTCCATGCTCTGAAAAATTTTCGTTTTAAACTATTCTTTATAAAGATTACAATAGATTACAAAAAGATTACAAAGCATATATATGCTATAAAACCAAATTAATAAAACATTAATCACTTCGTGAGTAAGCGAAAACATCGTAACTTCGGAATCTTCAAATCTACACCAAGTGTTGTCTTTTTCACCACATCTTATATATGAGTAATAATGTCCACCACTTGCCTGTCCAGAGTGAACAACAACACCACGTAATCGATACCGAGTTAAACTAAAAAACTTTACAAAATTTCTATGGACTTTAGTTTTTTAATGAAATTAAGAACGGCAAAATAGCCATGAATAACCTTTCTTCTTTGCTGGACATACAACTGGATGTTGGACTAGATACCGCACCCATATAAATTTCAGAACATCCAATATCATCAAAATGTATATTCAGATTTCCTGAAACAATAATGCATCGCATAGAAAAACTTTTTCAAATACTGATCTATTGATCACTGAAGGTCATCGCCTCTAAACCACTAAAATGATTAGAGATCATGAAAATTTGTGGAAAAATGAACCTGAAGCTCCATATATATATATATATATATATATAGAGGAAAAAAAATATGGTATGACTCAAAGGTTTTAAACAAAATTTTCCGGGATACTTTCCTTTTTCTTATGATCATAATTTAAACAGAATCAACAGAGATAGAAGTAAAATCAGAATCTGAAAAAAATTTTGAAAAAGCAAACTATCGGCAGCTGCTAATCCTTGAGCCGTAAATGGAAACATATCTAATTCTAATGGAAACTGGAAATAATCATTAAATTTCTGGGAAAGTTCCTGATTCCAATCGAAATCGAATCTTTTCAATTGAATCATTAAAAAAGGTGGAAGTTTACCAACACAAAGTCTTTTCACCGCTGTAACCTAAAAAAAATTCAACATTGAAATAATTTAATCAAGAAAATAACAAAAAAATTGAAAAACATATTAAACATATTAAATAATTAAAAACCTTTTTATTGCATTGTTCACACAAATAAGCATTGTCATTATTGAGCAGGTCACCTTTAACATATTCTCTTAATGAATCGATAAGATTGTTATATGGACGAATATCAACAGAGATAGAAGTAAACGGTTCTTCACGTTCGTACCTAGAAAATATTGCATTTGATAAAAAAATGAAATATGAAACTGAAGTACAAATGAAATAGAAAAAAAATAATGATAAGAGGAAAATGATGAAGGAAAAAAACTATGAAATTAAATAACGTCTAATATTACCTATGAGGACAATCTTTACAAATTTTTTGATCGGCAAAAGTGCCTCCAAACAATGCTTCACATATTGGGCGCTCACCGATCCGCTTCAAGCCTTCATCAATAGAATCAAAGATAGCATTACAAAATTCAAGCGCATCATGCTGTTCGCGAATGTTTGTCGGACGATTTCCTAATCTGAAAATAACAGCTATTAAATAAGATAATTAAGTCAATATTTCACGAAGGATAATATGGAATTAATGAAAACTACCTAAAATGCTTCCAAAAATATTTCGGTGCATAACAACGAAATTCTGAGCCAAGAAGATTAGCAAACACTGCTTGCACTGCCTTTAATACAGTTAGCCCATAATCGTCTGGAATTCTGTTCCCATTACCATGCTCTGCTTTTCGATCCTGCACAGCAATTATTTATTCATGATGAAAATGACAAAACCTTGTATATACAAAGTGAGAAACTTATATTAAAACTTACTGCATCTTCAACACTTTCGTCAACATCTTCACCTTCTTGATTACATTTTGAATGAAGAACAGCATTTCTCAAAGGTTCAATCATGAACATCTAAATTGACAGTTTAACTTAGAATACGAATAGAAGAATTAATAGATTCTAATATTATCAAAATTAATGACAGTAATATTACTGAAAATACCTCAAATTACTAACTAATATGAAAAAGATTATAGCATGGAAGAAAGAATGCAAAAAAATATGTAAAAACCTGTTGCAATACAGAATTCATATAGCACGTGGCACCAGCATTTTTTAAACCGACAAAACCGTCCACAGGTCGAAGAGTATGACTTGGTACATAATCCCAGTCAGTTATAACTGTCAGCAAGGGTTCTGCAAAAATTATATTAAATGCACAACATAAAGTAAAAAATTTATGATTTACCTGAATACTGTAATTCGAGCAAATAAGATGCCAGGGTCATAAAATTTGAATAAGATCCGTCGATTAACTCGCGTAGAAATTTGTATACAGCAATAATACTTTCGTTATTCCGACAAATTGGAATTCGCCTAATTAATGAAAGAGGGTGGACAGTTGTCGATCGAGGCATATTAAATTCTATTTCCTCTAAAAACAAGAGAATTTTAATTAACATACCTTGCTTGCATAAAAAATAAAAATAAAATATAACGTAAAACATTTTCGAAAAGATTTTGAAATATGAAATGAAGAAAATATGAAATCAATATAACAAATAATAATAGCAGAAAAACAGAATGAGCGCCGCAAAATTATTCAATAAAACAACCACTTGTTGAGATCGCGACATGAGTGGAAGACCGTTGTATTTGAGAAGCACTGCTATCATGTTGCAAATTTTCGTTTATTGTACAAGAAGGTGATAAAATAAATTCCTCAAGAAGCACCTGAAATAATAATTAAACGACCTATATCAAAAAAATATTTTATATGAAGTATATTAACAAAATTTAAATTTTATTCTGGATAATTTAAATATTGCTTTCCAAATGATATGAACAAAATCAACCTTAATCAGTTGACGATCGTCCAGATCGGATCCAATTTTTGTCTTGTATTTCGCATCATAATGAGAAACCAGCCATCTACAAATATCAAGTCGACTCGCCAGCTGTTGCTCAAATAATACAGAATCAGTAGTAGTAGTGGAATTATACTGTAATAAATTTTTATTTTATCATTTTATCATTTTTATATAATCATTTTTTAAATGCCGTAATGATTATTGAAAATCTATTTCTTTAGTGGCAAAAATGAAAAAATACTGACCCTTAAATTATCTAACCAATCGAGATTTAGCTCAACAAAATTTTCAAACCCATCAATATTCAATTGCAAATGTCGGCTGAATTCCAATAGCCTAAAATAAATCAAAATTTACAAATACCATATTTATTTTTTTCCGTTTAGACTTAAGATAGGAGTAATTTTTACCTTGACAAAAGTTGAAAATATTGGTGCGATAAGCCTGGCTGAATATCAGTCAAGCTGATTCGTTCAAATAATGTTTTTAATGTAGCTCTAATATAAACTTCTTCTGCATGAACGATTTCAAATGATTTCATGCCAAATAACTGAACCATTTCCGATATATGTTTAGAAATACTGCTGAAATTACATGAAATATTTAGGGAAAAAAAGCATATCAAAAAAATAGGTGATTCATATTCTCAAGAACGTTGGCATATTTGATTTCATACAAGATAAATCTTTCCTGCCTTATAGGAGAAAAAATGAAATCGGCTATCATTGTCTGCCAAATTTTTTCTTGCGTATTAATTAATTCAGCTCCACCACCAATATTTATCATAAGATAAACTGTATCCAATAATTTCAGTATAGTCATTATCCGAATATCTGTCCAAATCACCTGTAAATTTATGAAAAAAAATTAAGAAAATTCTATAGAATCAAAATTTAACTATTCGACTTCTAATATTTTTTAAAAAAAATAGAAATAGAAAAGAAAAATAATTACAAAAGCAAAAATGAAAGAACCAACATTAGGTACAGCACTTTCTAGAGATTCATATGATATATCCACGAAAAATCGCCCATCTTTCGAGTGTAGAGGTAAATCTTTGCAACCGAAACCCCACGCCAATTTAAGAATACTTTCTATATAAGTTGGACCAAGTGAGCAAACATCATTCGCCCAATTTTTCGCTGAACTAAATAATTCCGACGATTGTAGTTCTCCAGCGAGCAATGCACATCGCTGAATATAATCAATCTATGTCTTCGCATGTCTTTGATTGATATTTTAGGCACAGGCGAAAAACATTTTGCTTTAAACAGTTAAAGAGCCATGTTCGATTAATAAGAGTTAAAAGGAACTGTTCGCGAACCTTCAAGTTTTTTTTTAATGACTGTGAATATTTAATTAATTTAATTGACTGAAAATAGTTCCTAAAATCCTAGAAGAATTTGGAATTCCAAAATATACTAATAAAATATCTTGAGATAAGTCCAAGTAATAAAGTATGCATTATAACCTGGACCAGCGCTTCCTGATCTTCAGAAATGGAATCTGAATTAACAGACGTTCTAATCTTGTCTTCCTGAAATATTTCGATCTAATTTATAGATAAAAATAAAATTTAAAGATTTGTTCATCAGTTGTCAATTTTTTTCAAAACCACCGTCTATATTAATATAATCTTTTATCCAGCGAAATTATCTGAATACAAATATTAACTCAAATTATTTCATGTCAAAATTGTTGAAACAATAGAAATAATAAATAAACAATTAATAAACTAACCTTCAAGAATAATGCCAGCAATAGAATAAATCTCAAAATGATCAGAATATTTATCAAAACTGGTCCAGAAATACTTAAATCCCATCGACAGAAAAATTCACAATTTTCAAAAAATCGGAAAAATGCAGCGCAACAATTCAAAGCAAATGCCTTAATCGATAAAACGATTATTAATGAAGAAAACTAATAAAAATTTTTTTTTTCAGAATTCAGGAATTAAATAAGCATAAACTTTAAAACAAATAGGAAGATCAAACCAGAATATCAATTGATTTGTAAGGAACAAAATCAGCAGGCAACACCAGAGATGTAACCACCTTCAGATAATACAGCAAACGACTTGGTCTCTCACTACAGAATAAGCTCTGATCTTGTTCAGCCACCATTTTATTTACAACTTTGATTGATTTATCATCAACTGGTATCGTCCTGCAATATTTATTTCATTTCATATATCTCCACCACTTTTTGCTAAATGGTCCATAAATAAGTAACAATTTGACTAGAAATTTAAGAAAAAATTCTACAACTCTACTACAGAAAGTCAAAATAAAAAATCCTATGTATCACAAAAAACCATAAATTTATAGTTCACAAATTTATATTGCAATAAATTGCTAGCAAATATATAAATCCCTTCAATTTTTGCATTAAGATTTTGATTTTTATTTGAAAGAAATTTTCATTTAAAATTAACACACAAAAAAAGAGTTTGCACATGTTGCATAACGCCTGAATTGCCAAAGGAAAAGCAGAGATCTGCAGTATCACAAAGAAAAGAGACTTTGTTTGAATCACGCGAAATAATAATTCCAGGCAAAAAATTCTCATTCATTGCTGACAATATATCCCTGTATGTTGTTTCATTAAAAAGTTAAACAGAATAAAAAAAATTTAAATATAAATATGAAATCAAAAAAGTAGGAAAAGAAAATAATAAGAAATTACAGAGGAACATAAAAATTAGTAGTAGTTCGTTTGCTCCATGTACCGAGAATTTTTTCAGACCAATTTATGATCAGCCGCGAATTATCATCAATTCTAGATTCAGCGAGAGTTCGTTGGTCTTCTTTATCTGATAAATATCGCATTACTCTTCCACAGTCCAGACCGATGTAAAATGGAAGTAAAGTACCATCTGCTGCTAAACTCCAGTCAAATGCTTCCAATTTTTTAGCAATCTATAAAAAGCTTTACTGAAGTAATTACAACAATCATTTTATAAATAATCTGATATTAATATTAAATTTCTGATATTAACATTTTAAAATATTAGAAATGAAGAGAAATGAAGTTTTCAAAAATTTTCTCCTAGTTCAATTTTATCAAAAATATTAAAAGCAAAAAAACAAATGAAAAAACCTGTGCCCTCACACTTTCCAGCTTCATAGTACTGTGCACAGCGAGGGCAAAATCCCCAACTTGCTGAATAACTATATTAGCTGAAAGAAAATTAAAATTTCAAAAATTTCAAAAAAAAGCTTGTATATATATAATATATATATATTGTATATATATAAGTTTGTTTGAATATACTTAGAGAATGTCATCCATCACAAAACCTCAAATAAAAAATTTAATTCATGATTTCAAACCCATTAGCCAAGAAAGGATAAAATTTTATATATAGAGTCAAATGATGGTATGATTATAAAATCAACTGGAAAAAATAATAGATATTTTTCTCCAAAATTTATATTGCTCTCCAGAGGGTCGAATATACCCACTGATATTCACCCGTTATAATCCCAAAATCTTCCCTCGAACCCTATAATACTTTTACATCTACCAAATCTTCGCTATTTCGCCTTAATATCCCCAAACCTCAATCTGATGTTACTTGTGATAACAGTAACAGTCAAGAGAAATCAAAAATAGAAAAATCGAAAATTAAAACTTGAAAGAATAGAATTATATTAAGGAATTAGAACTGCGGATGAGGAATTAAAATGGTATAAAAATGATTTAAAACTTATTAAAGCTTGTAGAAAGGAATGAAGTTTGATGGAAGCTGAAGAAAGACAACGGTTTTTAAAAGCCTAGGTGAATTGCCGAAAGTACTGATGAAATATGACAGAATTTGGAAGAACAACTCATTATTACTATGGGCTGAACTCTGCAATATGATGTTGCCAGAGTCTAACTTCGAAAAAGATAAAAATTGTTTTGCAGATATCTAACTGAACAATTTTTAATAATACAGTATATAAAATAAATTCGAACCGCTATTTCCTTTCCGCATTCGTTGCAATTTCTCAACTTGACTAGCTGAAATTTAGTTAAATTTACAAAACTGTCAACTTTTATTTCACAGATTTTATTGGCAAGGAAAAATAATAAAAGTAAAATAGAAGAAAGAATATTTAATAGAACTCTTTAATGCGATTAACTTTACCAACATAATCATAGAAAAATTTTGCTAGTTATAATAATTAAAGTAGAAAGTACTAAGAAGAAGATACATCTCTAACTATCTCTAACTAAGAAAAAATAACGAAAAATATATTGTTTTAAATCAAAATAGACTAGAAATTAAAAAATC